AAAGTCTACTAAATAACTGCAAAAACCAGTAAGAATATACTTCAGCTCTATAATATGATCTATTAAGTGACACAGACAGAAGAAAGAAGACAGATGTGAAAGAAGAAATAACAGCATAGTAAGAGCAATAAAAGAGATAAATAACTACAAAACAACAAAGAAAAATTCTAGAGGGAGGAACAAGAGATGCACCAACAAACCAGCATGACCAGAGAAAAGCAGACAAATGACCAGAAAAACAAAAGAACTGCAGGAGAGCAAAGCCTTCAACATCCCTGGAATAAACAAGTGTTTCTATCTTGCAGCTTTTTAATACTGATACTAAGGATTCCATTCAATCCCACTGTCATTCTTCTAGAAAAGATTCCAAAATGGGAACTGAAACCTGGGTACTAGGTTTAACTTGTAGGCATAGATTATCATCAGGTTAACCTTAGGCAACTGGAAAACCACTAGATGGCTTCATATCAGTGGGTTTTTTGTCCGGTTTCAAAAATTTCAGGGCTGGGGTTGTGGTTCAGCGGTAGAGCACTTGCCTAGCACATGTGAGGCCCTGAACTCGATCCTCAGCACCACATAAAAATAAACAAATAAAATAAACGTATTGTGTCCAACTACAACTTAAAAATAAATATTTAAAAAATTTTTTTCAGCAAATTCCCAATTTATGATTTATAAAAATTAAAAGGTTTTCTTAAGTAAATCTCTTATTCTAATTACATTAGGACACCTTGGCATACGTATGTCGGTTTTATACCTCATTGCCTGGGGACACAATTAAACCAACCTCAACTCAAATGTAGCATTTTAATAGAACCAAAATGTGAAAACTTGATCAATTATACATTTTTAAAAAAATTTTCTTCCTTTTTTTTTTTTTTAACACAATACCTTTATTTTTATGTGGTGCTGAGGATCGAACCCGGGCCCCTCCCGTGCTAGGCAAGCACTTTACCACTGAGCCACAATCCCAGCCCATCAATTATACATTTTACCACCTGTACTAACTACTAACCTCAAAGAAAACTTTAATACTTTCTTAAAAAAATATTTGTTTTTTAGTTATAGATGGACACAATATCTTTAATTTGTTTTTATGTGGTGCTGAGGATTGAACCCAGCACCTCACACATGCTAGATGAGCGCTCTTCCTCTTGAGCCACCACCGCAGCCTTTATTTAATACTTTTAAGAAGAAAAATGTAAAACAATCTTACCACTCTTTTACTTCTAAATTTAGACATATGCATTTTTTCCATTGTCTAAAAAGGCCAATTACTTAAACTTCAGAGTTCTTGGATAAACAGACAGCAATACCAAATGTTAGTAAAACTGAACTAAAATGTAAGGTTTGTTTCCTGAAGAGCAGATGAGTTATATATATTTTTATATAAATTAACTTTCACTTAAACTCAATTATTAAGTTAAGCTTTGACATTGCATTTTTTTGCCATATCTATTCATACATTTTCTCATGAGCAACATAATAGACAATACAAATGCTTTCTTCATCCCAGTTTTCAAAACTAATGAACATACTGAAAGATAACCTAGAAATAAACTGTCCCAAAATTTATTTTTTGTAAAGAAATAAAAATTCTTCTTAATAAATTGTAACTATTAGAAGGTTCCTTGTTGTGTATAATAAATAACTCCTAAAAATATTTTCTTTTCTAGCTGGGTGTGATGGCACACATCTATAATTATAGATTCGTGGGAGGCTGAGGCAGGAGGTTTGTTAATTGAAGGCCAGCTTGAGCAACTTAGCAAGACTCTGCCTCAATATTAAATATATAGGCACACGTGTTTTTTTCCCCCTCAGTCACTATATTGAAATTGCCAAAATACAAATGTATTGCCTGAACTTTTATTTATTTTTTACTTTCTTTTTTTGCCCACACTATTAATTTAGAGCATCCAACTACTACTGATTCAAAATCCTCTGATTCACACTGCTGAAAGATCATCTCTTCTTGCCTCTGGGGTGAAAAATAAAATAGGCCCAGGGCTGGAGGTCCTGCAAAGTGTTGGAGCACTTGCATTAGCATGTGCAAGGTTCAATTCCAGCACCAAAAAGAAAAAAGCCCAGAAGGATTCTGAAAATGCTCATAAGGCCCCAGGTAACTACCACTGTGTTTTTTTTCCTAACTACTGGTGGATGGCTTTTCTAATCATCACCAGCTAAGTTTACACAAAAGGAACAGTAATACCCCTGTAAGCATCAAGGTAACAGGTTGGCCAGGGACACCTGTCTTGTCCCACTCTCATCATGCAGGACTTAGACTGCCCTGCAGTGCTCCAGGTGTTGGACACTCCCTGCACTCCCTTCCATAAGGCTCTCTAGTGTCTGATTCTGCACTCTCTAAAAAATTAAAAGCCCTTAGGTCATTCCATTATTTCTCCTCCTAGAGGCAGGACCAGAGAGAGAGTGTGTCTTTTGCACAACAATTATTTAGAGGGCAATTGTGACCTTACTTAGGAATGTTAAATTGATGAGAAGAAAAAAAATATTTAAAAAATCCCAAGGGCTAGGTTGGATAACAGGCTGATTACAATTCTGTGCAAAGACATCAAACATCCAGATATTCTGGGAAAAAAATATATAATGTCTTTCCTTTCCTTTCCATTATATTATTCTACTTCTCCTCCATCTTCCAGCTAGGTAGGATGAGGAAGCACTCAGGATTGTTTCTTTGGGTTTTGGACCCCCCCCCCCCCCAATGCATGATTGTTTCCTTGGGAAGGAGAAATAAAAAGTTACTCATATCAGTTGAGCCAATGAAGAAAATAACCACTCAGCTTTACAACCACACCCAGCCTCAGCCTTTTGCTATGACAAATGAGGTCCTCATTTGGTCAGAGGTTTCAATGCCAAAGGAAACGTTTCCTTTCTCAAACTTGTCCAACACCAAGAGTCAACAGTGAGGCTTGCTGGAAGTTCAGATTCTCTCACTCCTTCCAAACTTAATCAGCATCCTGAGAAGCAAATACCCAAGACTGTTTTTTTTTTGCAAGCACCAGGTAATCTTTATATTTGAGATACATTATCTTGAGACTGTGTTCAGCTTTAAAAAAAAAAAAAAAAAAACTCCTACTTTTTCCCCTTAGGAACTATAGATTTATTTTTATTCCTTTTTTAATATTTATTTTTTTAGTTGTAGTTGGACACAATACGTTTATTTATTTATTTTTTTAATGTGGTGCTGAGGATCGAACCTAGGGCCTCACATGTGCTAGGTGAGCACTCTTATCACTGAGCCACAATCCCAGTGGAACTATAGATTTAAAAACTAGAATTTCACACATCAAACTAAAACTCAGTTCACTTTGTGTGCTAGCTCTTTATAGCATCTTAATAATTCATGAAAATGAACTAACTAGTTCCAGTTGTTGTCATTATCCTAGAGGCTGGCAGGTCTGAGCCACTCTTCCACTTTATTTATTTATTAAGCTGGTGTCTCACTATGTTGCCCAGATTGATCTTGAACTCTTGGGTTCAAACGATCCTCCTGCTTCAGCCTCTGAAGTAGCTGGGACTAGACATGTGCCACCATATCTGGCAGAGTCACAATCTTAAGCAGAGAAGGCACCTCTAAATTTCAGTTTTTTGAAGTAGTATATGCTTTCCATCCGGAAACTCTGGAAAATGATGCTCTTGTCTCACACTGCTAATCAGATCGGTACAAGCTGGAATGGCTATATCCAAAGTTCAACAGACAATGCAAAAAATCAGAAAGAGCTTCTTGGCAGTGACTGAAAAGAAAATCCAGTGGCTTTTGACATGCCCACTGCTTTTACCATGCCACATCCTTGAAGTGTACCGTAGAAAACAGCACGGAAGGCAATTAGTTCATGGTCCACGAGCAGATGGATGACAGTAAATGAATGAATGGGCCATGAGTCAATACAATAATACACCAAAAATGGCATCATGTAATTCAGCAATATCTTTAGGAGGGGAAGAGTATTTTGTAAAATTTCTTTATACCATCTGGTAGATTTTTTTTTTTTTTACCAGCCTTTAACCAAATATTTGACATGAAAATTTATATTCAAAAAAGGAAAGGCAAATCCTGAGAGGCCCACATTCTAGAAGCACAAACGGAAAGAAAAGGAAACAAAAGCTAGGGTGGTACATTAGGAATAAAAAACCCTGAGACAGGCAGCCCACAAGGACAGCAGCACACCACAGGACGTCACTGCTCCTCCCCAGAGTGCGGACTCAGCGTTAAAAACCACGTACAGCAAACTTCAGTGCCAAATTCACATGAACAAAGACTGAACAAGAAAGGAGGAGGAGAACTAGGTAGAAAGAGGGCAAATCCCAGGGGAGACAGAATGAAGAAGGGGGTAGGGGGAGACAGCGTGCAACAGCTCATGCAGGGACCTCGGTGAGGACAAGTGGGCACCGGGCAACACTCGGTGAGAACAGAGGGCCAGAGAAAGTGAGACACACCTCAATCACAGAAACAAACCGCTTACCCTCCGCTTTAGTGGTAGTACCATCTTTATGCAAATTAAAAAACAAGGGAAGGGATAACAGGGAACAGTTAGTAACATTCAAAAAATTAAACAAGCAGAATGTTATTAGCTACTAAAAAAAGCAAAAGTACAAGTTAAAACAAAATCAAAAGGGAAACAAGTTCAACAGCAAAGCAGAGTCTAAAGCAAGTAAGTGCACCTATGACAGAAACTAGCTGAGCATGGTGTAGTGGCTTTGCCTTTGGAAAACAGCACACAAAGGGGCGACCGAGGGTCGTGCCACAGTTGGAAGAGTGACTGGTTGTCTTTTTTTGTTTGAGTCAATCCTCATTGTCTTAAGAGTTCCTCTTCCTTGAAGAAAGTACCAGCAGAAGGGGTGGCGGGAGCAGAACAGACTAAAAGGACTAAAGAGCCACCCACAGGGCCGAGGCAGTAGGAAGCGACAAGAAGCCGAGAAGCCGGCTCTAGCAACGCCTAGCCCAACTACACGCCCAGCAGCAGCAGCTGAGAGCTCAGTACCTGCATCCAGGCCTATGTACTCCAAGTCTTCCCTCAGGGGTCTGGACTCTAGAAGTTCGGAAAAGGATCATCAGCTTTAGTGCTACACTTGTGCAGAGACATCGTGGGTCAGCTATGCAGTAACTGTAACAGATTCTCCGTAGGACTGTGTTTTACTCAGTTTTCCATGTGTTTTGGTTTTGTTTCGGGACATAAATAAGGAAAGCAGAGGGAGGATTCTCAGGAAACCAAGAGAGTCTGAGTCCAGCAGTCTTGTCTGCAGTCAGCACTGAGTGCAGGGCTTGTCCCCAGTGGTTCTGAAGGTCAGTTCTCTGTCAAAGGTCTGGGGGCTTTTCACTAGCACTGGGGGAAGCCTGCCCAGTCCACATCCAAACACCCAAATAGGCACAAAAAAACAAGACTATGAAGGATGCTAAAGGCTGGTTTTACTTATGTTTTCCCAGCAATGAAACAAATGCTAATTATAAATAGATCAAATGAATTTAAATATTAATAGGTCAATACCTGAAAGACTGAACTAAAAGTGTAACTAATTCACCATAGGAGGAAAGAACTGTGACTTCACCCTTCCTCAACGATGACACATCAACAGAACATTGTAACATTTCCACATAAAAATAGTTAAAGTGGTGAAAAAGAGTTCTTACTGGGAATATATGTGTGTATGAGGTGCTTCCATAGGAAAAAAACAAGACTGACTGACATGTGCTCTAGGATATATATCTTTCAACTTAATGACATTCCTGTCACAATCCCACTTTCACCTATCTTATAGGATGACAGTTTGCAAAGAAACTTCATACAATTTTCATAGATCCCTATTGTATATCTGAGTCAGGAGACCAGTATTAAGAGCAATTAATGGTTAGGGAGATAGACTTGAAGATTCATGGGCTTGCTCAAGGTCTCAGGGCTAACAAACAGCAGCCCCAGGGACCTTCTCTAGGTGTGTGTCCTCTCACCGTGCTTCTCACTCATGTTTCAGAACTTTAGTTTTAGAACTGACTTTGGAATTCATTAGTGGGCTACATATGTAACTCCATTTCAGTATTTCAAGTTTAAATTTTATTAATTTCCTTAACATTCAAAGTGGAACCATTTCAGTTCAGGGCTCAGATTTTGGGTGGAATGACTTGGCTTTTACAAAAATACAATAAACCATCAGTCTTAAACCAAGTGAGTGTTAAGGGTTTGCTGAAAAAAAAAAAAAAAAAAAAAAACATGAGTGACCCACCACCATGTCAGGTATTGAAAATGTGTTAAAATAATTTTAAAGAATTTTTAAAAACCTTTCGGGCAATCATTGGAGTACAGGTGTGCTCCTCCCAGGTGACGTGAGAAAGGATGATACTTATTGATGCAGACATGACTATGCTGGTTAACAAGGATGTCACATTCTTTGAGTCTGCCTGTCACTCCCCGACTCTGAGGGATGCCTAGCTATAGAAACAGTGTCTGATAAGTCTCTGCCTCCAACAGTGCCAGGAGGGGGAAAAGTCAGCTTTGGCAATATGAGCGTGGCTGAGCACTGGCTGGGCTGGCCGTGGAGAATGAGGGAGTGAGCTGAGGGAAGCCTGTATGCGCTCAGGGCCAGCATGGCCTGCAAGGACTATATCCTTCACCACTAAAGGGGATGATGCTCCAGAGAAAGGAAAAACTCGACAAAGGGTGGCTGGGGACCAGTACCAGGTGTAATTACTGTCTCTTAAATATCAATCCTGCAACAGGGGGGTCTTCCTTCCATTATGGTGTCTTGCAATTTGCTAAGAGGTGAGGATCATCTTGGACACCAGAACAGGATGTGAAGAGTAGGTAGGGGGATCTGGTTACCTAAAGATGCATAGGACCCTGGAGGCAAAGCCGCTGCAGAACTGAAGGGCGTCGTGCCTGAAGACGAGGAGACTTTAGATTTGGCACTGGCAGCTGCGTTCACATCGATGTCACTTCGAGATCGCTGGAGGGATCCAGTTGTTGATACAGATTTGGTGCTAACTGTAGAAGCTTTGGTAGTGAAGGAGAAAATGTCAGTAAGGATGACAGAGAATTTCAAATATATATTTCTTAAAAACCTGATGCTCTTTTGTTTTTCTTGAAAACAAATACGAATTTGTAATAAATGCTGGAGTCTATGGAACTGACCTGAAGTTTCCTTGCCCCGAAGATAAGGGTTCAGACAATGCCAAAGAAAACCAAAAGTGATCTCTACTGTCACCTATCTGTTATACCTGCTTTTTAGTAACTATAAATCCAAAGAAATGACCCATATTTCTGGTTACTATGAGAAGAAATGATACAATGAAAAACTGGTCCCATCTGGCCAGCCTCCTCATGTTGTGGCATGAAGGCACAGGACCTACAGAGGCTCTCCCCTTTCAGGAAATATCCTCCTCTCCGACCTCCAGCAGCTATTCCACTGCTGCCACACAGGGGGCTTGTCTTCCTTCCACTTTGGTGTCCTGCAATTTGCTAAGAGGTGAAGATCATCTTGTCACCAGTAGCTCTCACTCTCTTATCACGTGAGCTGACAGAAGAGCAGCACTATTTGTGGCAGCATTGAAATGCTGGAGGGAAGCAAGAAGAAATGGTCACAGCCTAATTTCTGCCTATTAAGCCATCCTCACAATGGGAGTGGATCTCTGCTGAGGATGGTCAGGGCAGAGGGCAGAGTGGCATTTGACTCAGACCCAAGAGCAGGCCACAACTTTCTGCACTGAAGCACTGTCTCTAGGATATGAGCACCCCCCAGTGGCTGGGAATTGACCTCCTGTGGCCTCCTGTGGACACTGTTCCTCTTACCTCTAGATGTGGTGCTGCCAGTTGGGCTTCTTTTGGCAGAGAGTGGCCGACTAAAAAGAAAAGCATACACATTTATTGTCAAGGGTGGACCTTATCTGCAGTCACACAAATATAAACGATAACACAAATAATGATAATAAAGAATTATTTCAGAGTTTTCAGAATTATTCAGGCAATTGAGACCATAATTTTATAAACTGCATTTCTTAAAATGAAAATCTTTAAGCACTATATTTTGGAATATCTTTCAAACATAGCAAAACTATAATTGAGATGGAAATTAGAAATAATGAACAAAGATGATGATATATTAAGTGCCATGTTTTAAATAATCAGCCTTCCCAAACTTGTCTCCAAGTTAACACTTTCAAGTTCTTGGAAGACTCTCTGAGTGGTTCACACTGCTCTATAATTCATATACCTTATTCTAAAACTGTATTCTAGAATGCCACATAAATTTAACTGAAAATCATTTATGATAGAAGCCAAGGCTTCCTGTTTCTTACCTATCTCCATGGCATCTAACCTAGAACCAGAATTCACCTGAAGTCAGAGGGAATTTTAACAGGCATACACATGAAAGAGCTGGAATTTATGTTTCCACGAGCAAACTTTTAAATGTAAGCAAAGCTAAGTTCCTTACTTGAGACTCTCCTGAGAGCTGGAAGATGAACGATCAGACTGGGGCAGAGACACTATGCTGTCCGAGTTCTTCAAATGGGACTGCAGGGCTTTCTGGTAGGAGGACTCCAGAGTATGGTATAAGTGCTCTGCTTCTCTGCTGAAGTGACCATGGAAGCCCCAGTAACATCTAGGGAAAGCACACAAATTCCTGGTCTGGTTTGTGAATCCTAACAGGTCTTCCTTCTACAAGATATTCTTGAGGACTCAACCTGCCTGCTAATAGGAATGCAGGGTATAAGGAAAAGGGGACAAGCCAAGGAGGCCTTGCAGGAACCCTGGCCTCCCAGCTTAGGAGCCTTTCGGCACTGGTAAGTTACTTAAGCTCTTTGAACCTCAGTCTCATTTATAAGATGAGAATTAAAGGATCTAACTTCCAAGACTGGGAGCCTTGGGGAAGACAGAGCTAAATTACAACCATACGCAGAACACAGGACAGACTCCTTAATGGGAGCATTTATAAATACAATTTAACACTCCTTGATTTGAGATATTTTCAACTGCCTTAGGTAACAAGAACAAAAGAAAAATGTTAAAGGGTACTTTACTTAAAATCTGTATTATGATTAAAGGACTATGTAAAAACTGGGAGTGGGAGAATATGAGGATAAGATATATAGCATTATCAGATAGATCATTAAACAAATTATGTCACTTGTTTTGGCAGGAATCATTCACTTCAGAGTTATAATAAACTCAGAAATAAGGAAACATAATTTAACTGTGAGGGCAGTCAAATGTAGTAAGAAACTGGAGCAGAAAGTATTCTTGTAGCTAAGGAAAACTATAATGTTCCAGGCAAGTGAGATGAGACACAACCTGTGTCAATTAGAACAGATGGTCAACTATGGAAGTATGGAAAAATAATCACAGGTGCAAAACCAACCGTAATCACCTGTGCACTGCCCAAGAGTGTCTCCCCTTCCCAGCCCCAACCCCTATCTGAGTGCTGGGGATGAATCCCAGAGCCTTAACATGCCAGACAATCCCTCTGCTGCTGAACTACAGCCCCAGCCCCAAGTGAATTAAGTCTGAACAACAAACTTCTGGTATTTACAGTCACATGGCAAAACTGCTTCCAGGGAGGCTCAAGATTCAGGGGGCTATGGCCAAATGAGTGGAACATACTCAGTCCTAATGTCACAACCACCTCCAACAAAGATGCGATCATAAGGAAAAAGTCCTGTGGTTGTGATTTTTCATAAATCAATAAAGCATGTTGGCTCATGACATACTTTTAACTGAAATGAGCAAATTCTGTTGTCTACCTCAGTCCGGTTTATACTAAAAAATTACTCAGCCAAACTACTAAAAAAAAAAAAAAAAAAAAACAAGAGAAATATTCTGAAATGGCCTTTGCGCGGGCATGTTTAAACATTATGACTAAGGAAGTACATTCAAGTATATTCATGGGTTTATTCAGCAAGGAAATGCATACAACATACGTGAAATGTAAAAGTAGATAATTTTTTTTTAAAGTGGCATACAATAAAAACTTACTTCCTGGCTTCTATTCTTGCTTCAGAATCAGCATCATGGATTCCCTTCTTTATTGTTTCAGCTAATACTGATATGTGTCTAGATATTTAGAAAAGAAAGTAATAACAATCATAAACACATGACTTTATGTAGATGAAGACAGGTGTGTGAAACTTCAAAATAGGAACACAGTGTCACTGTGCCAATGTCAGTCAACTAACCTGCTGCCCAGAAGATCAAACACTCTTCCAGGGTCTTAATTTTTAATTATGGCCCAATACCCCATCCCCAACTCCACCCCACCCTCCCCTGGGGACTGGAATTACCCTGCTTTCTTCTGTGAGTTTTTAGAACACAGCTGGCTTTTTTCACTTAGCTCAATCTTATGAATTCAAACAACAAAATTCTGCCCTTCCATGGTCATAGCTAGTTTCAAAACAAATTATGAGATGGATCATAACAATCCTAGCAGTGAAATAAGGAGGCTCTCTATACCACTTTTCTATAATGAAACAATGTTCTCTTTTCAGGTTCCATTGCTATTTAATATGGTTAGGTTATCTATTGTTGTCTTTGTTTTCTAGTACTGGGAATGAACCCAGGGGTACTATACCACTGAGCTACAACCTTAATATTATTTATTTATTTATTTTTATGTTTTTGAGAAAGGGTCTCATTAAAATAGCCCAGGCTGGCCTCCTGCCTCCAACTCCCAAGTTGCTGGAATTACAGATAAGTACCACCGTGCCTGGCTTTTTTAGTTTTCTAAGAGATGAGTCTCGGTAAGTTGCCGAGGCTAGGTTCAAACTTGAGATCCTTTTTCTTCAGCCTTCTGAGTAGCTGGGATTATAGGCATGCACCACTTTGCCTAGTTTAACAATAATGTTTTTTTTTAATTCTCTTTTTTAATATATACATATATATTTTTAGTTGTAGTTGGACACAATACCTTTATTTCACTTATTTATTTTTATGTGGTGCTGAGGATCGAACCCAGAGTCTCCCAAATGCGAGGCGAGTGTTCTACCGCTGAGCCACAACCCCTGCCCAAGAATAATTTTTAAAAATCTCTTTAGTTGTGTTTTACTCTAGTTGTAAAGAAATCATCAACATATTACTAAATATTTAACCAAGTTTTAAGACAAGGGAAATGACTGGTGTGAAGAGTCTCAACAATATCGCACAACAAAGACTAGTGGCTAATTTGATCAGCACTTCAAAGTCCTTGCCTCATTCTTTTGAAAAATATTTAGCAGTCAGTCACCTGCTAAGTCAGGTTCTAAGTGCTAAGAGGAAAATGAACACACCCACATTTTATCCTGCCCTCCTGCCCCACAGTGAATCCCTCATTTCACTTTCCATCTCTGAATTATATAAAACCATCACCCACTAAAGAAGATACAGTGCCCATGAGATTAAAGAGCAAGGGAATATTTTTATTGTATGACTATCCTCTGCATTACAAGGGTTTTCAGATGAAATTTCACCTCTGGAAAGTTTGACTTTGTTTCACCTCTGACCAGGTGAATCAATATGGAATGGGACTCGTATTACTTAAAATTCCACTGTTAATCAAATATTTACTATGCTGCAAGTTCTTCTGAAACCATATGACACACCATTAAAAACACGGGGCACAATCTCATTTACTATCTCCAAATATAAGACACCCAATGAGAGGCACCCAAACTTGACAGGAATGAAGGAATCACAAAATTAATAGAGACATACTTTTTCAAGAATTATGCCACAATCTTGCTTTTTAAAATTATGGTGATATAACACCATTGTATATCAACCTGAGTAAAGAGAACTGCTGTCAAATAGAAAAGAAAACTTTCAAATTAGTGATATTTCTCTTAGTACCTAAAAGGTACACCCTGCCTAGAGACAGCATTAAATCTCTACCTCCCTGGAACTGACAGGTTTGTTGCTGCGCAGCAGCCTCAGCAAAGCATTGTGGTGGCTTGGTAGTTCTAGTCATCACTAGTGCTCATTTGCCCCCATCTCTGGGCACGTGAATATTTCAATCAATGACATTTCCCAAAAGGTTCTCCAAATACGTGTTTCACATATCTGTGGTAACAACCATAGTAATTCAAGTGAATCCTTCAATTCCTTCATTCCTTAGAGAAGGTGGCTTGGACCACTTTATATGGCATTCAATTTCAAGATTCAATCCAAAGGGAAGAACATTTGCAAAGCAGGCAGATGCTCACCTTTCCAGTGAATGTGTCTGCCATTCTTGTAGAAGCAAATCTAAAAATTCAAAACAGCGCCTGAAAAGTGTTAAGAATTATAGAACTTAGTTAAATGTGTGTCAGTGAAAAGCAAACAGCGTTTTTCTTTAAATGGCCCAATAGTACTTTTTTTCTTTTTCTTTTTTGGTACCAGGGACTGAACCTAGGGGTACACTGACTTACATCCTCAGCACCCCACCCTACTTTTTTAATTTTGAGAAAGGGTCTCCCTAGGTTTCTCAGCCTGGCCTTCAACTCACAATCTCCTGCCCTAGCCTTCTGAGTTACTGGGATTACCCAATATTACTTTCCACAGTAAGATCCTTCTAATATTTACAATTAGAAAAAGTAGAACATAAAGAAGAATCGGGACTAAACACCAAAGCATATGAATGTGAAGAAGCACTGATGGTGTCCACAGGAAGACGGGGACAGGACACAGACTTTCCCTCCAATGAGAAGGCTAAGCTTTATGGCAACATTAGCAAAAGGGTCTAGCATGATTACTTGTTTTCATACTGCCCTAAATAATATATAAATACAGAATGTGCACATTTACAAAAGGTAAACACATGTTACACAGCCGGGGGACTGGCCTTCCCATTAATTTTACAGACTGCCTTGGGAAAAAACAAAGGAGAAAATACTCTGAAAAACTAAGTTCCCTCCAAGATTTCCTGTTGGGGTCCTAGGTAGTACTTGAAATAATTGGGATATTTATACTGATATAATTGGGATACTATACTGATATTTATACTGCCTTTCTCAGGGAATGGGTGAGGGGAGACCAAGGACACAGAGGAACTATCTCAGAAAAAGGTGTACAGGGGTCCTCTCCCTGCCCCTCTCTACTACTGTCCCCCCCCCCCCCCGCCGCCAAACACACTCAGACACACACACACAAATTAGAGGCTGTCCAAACTCACTTTCCAATATGTTCCTATCTTGATCCTTCAACCAAAGCAGTTGTTGCAATGATCTTAAATGCTATTAAACGTTTCAAACATAAGATTTAACCATGGAAGGAGATTTGAGAGTTGGTTTTCGTTTTTAAATAATTTAAAATTAACAAAGAACACTAAAAATTTACCTTCTAACTGCAACAGACTTAGAGGTACAGTTGCTTGTTATAACAGGTATTAGTCGAGGGATGTGTGTGTGCTGTGGAGAAAAATGAAAATCAGGTTAAAAAAAAATGAGGTAAAATTGTAAATACAAAAACAGAACAGAAGACAATTAAGAGAACCCTGTCCTTCCCAACCCATTTATAGCACAAATATATTCGGATTAACATGTCATCAAATTTAAAAAGAAAATTAAAATTTCACTGGCATGTCAAAGGCCATCACAAAATTGACAGAGCCAAGAGCTAACAATGTAATAATATATAAATCAGTCTAAAATCAAAACAATCATTGGCATGAGGTCTAAGTAATCTAAACAGCAGAGATCTGAGTAGGTTTAAAAGGAGTCTTTACAGCTCAGGCTAAGGCAAGAGGATTGCAAGTTTAAAGCCAGCCTCAGCAATTTAGTGAGGCCCTAAGCAACTCAGTGAGACCCTGTCTCAAAATGAAATACAAAACAGGACTAGGGAAGTGGCTCAGTGGCTGAGCACCCCTGGGTTCAATCCCCTGTACCAAGAAAAAAAAAAAAAAAAAAAGGATTCTTCATGTCAATATATTCTGAAACATTGTTTCAGGCTCTCCCCCCCATCCCCCACTGGGGATTGAACCAGGGCATCTCACATGTTAGGCAAGCACCCTACCACTGAGCCACAACTCGCATTCCTAGCCCTTTTAAAATTTTATTTGAACATGGGATCTTGCAGATTTACTAAGGCTAACCTCCAACTTGCAATCCTCCTGCCTCAGCCTTCCAAGTAGCTGGGATTACAGGTGTGCACCATCACACCCTGCTTATTCTGACATGGTTTCAAGAAAATGTACAATAATGACTTTGGGTTTAATATTTGAAGTAGGCAGCACAAACAAGAACAGTAAGAACTAAAACTAATGCATAGTAACCCACAGTAGTCAAGAACATTCTGAATAGGGTTTATTCAGCATCATGAAGCCCTAAGGTTTCAAGAGTTGCCTCTTGGGAGAAACTGAAACTTGAAAATGGGAAGTAGGTAATATCTAGCAATTAGAGAAATGCAAATCAAAACTACTGTAAGATTTCATCTCACTCCAGTCAGAATGGCAATTATCAAGAATACAAGCAACAATAAATGTTGGCAAAGATGTGGGAGAAAATGTACAATCCTATGTTGCTACTGGGCCTGCAAACTGGTGCAACTCTTATGGAAAGTAGTATAGAAATTCCTCAGAAAACCTGGAATGGAACCACCATTTGATAAGCTATCCCACTCCTCAGTTTATACCTAAAGGAAGTAAAATAAGCACACTACAGTGACACAGCCACATCAATGTTTATAGCAGCTCAATTCACAATTTCAAACTATGGAAACAACCTAGAAGCCCTTCAACGAATAAATGGATAAAGAAAATGTGGCATACACACAACACACAAACACACACACACACACACACACACATGAAATATTAATCAGTCTTAAAAATGAATGAAATATGGATGGAGCTGGAGAGTATCATGCTAAGCCAAATAAGCCAATCCCAAAAAACCAAAGGCCAAATGTTTTCTCTAATATGTGGATGCTAATTCACAATAAGGGCGGGGGGGGACACTAGGGGAAAATAGTGTACTTTGGATTAGGCAGAGGGGAGAGAAGGGAGGGGAGGGAGCATGGGAGTAGAAAGGGTAGTAGAATGAACTGGACGTTATTACCCTATGTGCATATATGATTACATGACCGGTGTGATTCTACATCATGTACAATCAGAAGAATGAGAAGTTATATTTCATTTATATATGATATGTCAAAATGCATTCTATTGTCATGTATAACTAATTAGAACAAATTAAAAAGTACAAAAAAATATATATAATCACTCCAATGAGAAATCTCTATTATTTCTTAAAATTATCAATATTTACCAATTGCATATTTTACATCTAGCCTTACGATATACTTACCCGAATGATTAATCTAACAGCTACAACACCAGAAGTGGCCATAATTTTGGCACTGTTTGGAATCAAATTAAATATAGTTGGCATAATGGCTTCAGCTCCATGGTCAAATTTATTTCCTAGAACCGATGACAGATGCCTACAGCAAGATATGAACACCATATTGTAGTTATACTTCTTATCAACAGCGAAGACATAAACTTCTTGATACTTAAGGGCCTTCATTTAAAGTTACTATGGATAAAGTACTTTTAACAATAAAAGTACAATACGCTAAAAAATAATTCTAAAATGTACATGTAGAGAACTTGACAAATAGCCTTTAACCCAAGAGTTTTTCTTAATCATTTTCAACCAAGTCTTAAAATAGCAAAAAAGAAATTGATCATATGCCAATAAAGCAAACATGAAAAACTCCCTTGCCCCTTTTATATTTAACCTAAAACATTCATGCTTCAATATCTGCCTGCCTCCCTCAAATTTAAACAACTATAAATAACTATTTAAACAACTCTTGGCTATGGCTTTGATAATCTGACAGTTTCTTAACACAGTTTGGCATAGGATAAGATGTTACTGCAGCACCTGCCTTAACTTTAACTTTGTAGCTATAATACTCTTTTACAAACAAACTTTCTGACAAATACTCTATATCCTGTCAGCAAAATCAATCAATCAATCAATCAATGAGACATCTGAGAAACAGAATTCCGTAAAATTTCATTTTTTCTACATTAATATTATATTATTAATATAAATAACGGCTTCAAGTTTAAGATAGAGGCTTCAGAGATAGGTCACTGAGTAAAGTTTAAAATTGGTCACTCTTTACATCACTGGGCAGAAAATACTGCAAAGCTTAGCAAAAGTGTTAATTGGTAAGGGTCTTGGAGATAAGTCAGAGGTTATGTTAAAGTGACCCAGATGACATGGGCAAGGAACCATCTCTGAAGCTCTATAATGAACCTATTTTATGGTGTGTGAGAACAGGGAGCATTGCGGTCCTTACCCCAACGTGATACAAGCCTCCCGCACTACCTGAGACCGCAGATCCTTAGCAGAGAGTTTAAAGGCTCCGTCCAAAAGACGCAGATGTTGAAAGAAGTTATCATACTCAGCAGCACCAGCCAAAAGTAAAGATCTAATCTTTTTTAGCTAAGAGACAAAAAAAAGGACCATACAAAATCTGTGTAAGACATATTTAACACAGAATACACAAGACAGAAGCCTTCATTAAAGTTCAACTGATACAGAAATAATTTTTACAAGAGAATTCAACAAGTTAAATATTGCCTCATACATTGAACAAATCTACATATCACAAGATCAAATTTTTTTTTTTAATATTTATTTTTTAGTTTTCGGCAGACACAACATCTTTGTTTGTATGTGGTGCTGAGGATCGAACCCGGGCCGCACACATACCAGGCGAGCGCACTACCGCTTGAGCCACATCCCCAGCCCCAGATCAAATATTTTTTAAATGCAGTATATACCAAATATATTCTAATTAATATCTTTAATTTCTACAAAGTGGGCTTTCTTCTTTGGTATTGGGAATTGAACCCAGGGTGCTTTACCACTGAGCTACATTTCCAATTCTTTTTATTTACTTCTTAAAATTTTGAGACAGGGTCTCACTCAGTTGCCCAGGCTGGCCTCAAACTTGCAACAATCTTCTTGCCTCAGGCTCCTGAGTTGCTAGCATTATATATAGCATTGTATCTATCTATCATCTATCTATCTATCTAGATTTTGTGACCATCTACAAATTGTGTTTTGGGAAATATCTTGGTATATTTATAGATTCTATGATACTAATGATAACTAAGATTAATTTTGGCTTATAAAAGTCCCTCCTAAATTTACTATCTCCTACATCCCACTCCAACTGTCATTTATTTATGAATCAAAGAGAAGCATGCGGGCTGGGGGTACAGCTTAATGGTAGAGCGGTTGCCTAGCACATGCAAGGCCCTGGGATCCATTCCCAGTACAGGGGTGGGAGCAGGGGACATAAAAGAAAACGAGAGAAACATTCCTACAGCATTTTTATATTGTCCCCCAATGCATCTTCATTAACTGGCTGGTCTGAATGTGAAACAGAATACAACAGCAATTTTACCACCTCTTGCCTTGCCAACCATGCAGTGTAAAAACAGTTTTATGCAGAGACGGCATGCCCTCACTTAAATGTTGAGCCACATACTTTTCATGAATCCACCTTTTAAAACAGAGGAGGTATAACTTTCTAGCATGTGATAGGAAGAAAGAAAAAAATACTGAGGGCCATATACTGAAAGTTTTCACTAAAAAGCCAGTTTACTGGCCAACAAGCAGAGAATTAAATGTTGACTAAGGCAGAGGTGGAGGCAGTTTGCAGACATTCCACAGGCAGGTCTGCGGTAAGAGAACAGCAAATGCATGATGGTGTAAGCTGGTGTGTTTTAAAAATAAAAGCCTAAGTGAGAAACTCTATTAAAAAGTTCAAGTGAAAATATGGCATCTATATTTAAAATACCTACTATTTAAAATTCACCTAAGCTATCCTCCAAACTCATATCAAATATTTAAGATATTGAAAGGAATCTAAAGAAAAGGTAACCACATGAAGTCAATGGCTTACAGCATTTACTCTCTGCTCCCAATCATGTTTGTCATCAGATAATATTTCCCTAATTTTGTTTATGGATTCTTCAAGATCGCGGCTGGAATAAATCTGCAAGTAAAATTAATTCATAATTAATATAATTTACAGAAGAAAGATTATTTCTTAATTATGTGAAGTCACAGGCATGTAGCAAGTAGAGTAAAAAGAAATTATTTCATTTATATTAAGTACCAATGAGACAGTATCTATGCAGGATTGTCCGAATGAGGTTTTTTTTTTTTTTTTCCATTGTGAATGTGCACTGACTGGATCTGCTGCCATGTGTCAATAACCTTGACTGAAACACTCCCTTACTCTAAATGTAACAGAAGATCTCATGTACAAAAGAGAAAGAAGCCTACAAGAGAAACAGTGATGCACGAGTCAATTATTACTCATGTTATTGCTTTAAACATCACATTACACCTGTAATTTTAAACACTTTCATATCTACTTCCTCATTTATCCCCAGTCTTACTATAAGACAGGTAGGGTACCATCAACCAAAAATGCTGAGAGGGTCAAGTACTGCAGGATGAACCTGAGCTCGCTACTTGCTGTAAGCAGAGGTGGATCATCAGGTGGCAGGGAAAGCTGTTAGACAGTAAGTATTACAGGAATCCAGAGCACACTTAAAGTAGACTGAGAAAGCATTATCAGCCCTCCAGTCAATGATGGTAGGTACTGAAGCACAAAGAAGTTTAAAAAATGTTTGACTGTAACCCAAATTTTACAAATAATCTTTAATACATCTGTTAGGTAGTTAAGTGAAGCATCAAAGACAGTACAAATTAGGCTTTTATTTAACCATTCAATAGCTTTTCAGATACTAAATTCCTCAAATTTATATTTTTTTCTAAAACAGATCCCCAAATAAACATGCTTGTTTATTTATTTAATTTTTTTTAACCTCACCAACAAACAAAACACTAGAAGAACTAACTTCTTTCCTATTTTTAGTAAAAGATCATTTGGGGCCTTGACTTGCTACATTTCAGTCATTTAAAAGGCTCCAACATTTTCTAATCTGCACCTCAGATCCCAGAGCTAAAACAAACAAACCCAGTAAAGAATTCAGCATCTGGCAGTGCTATGGTCTGGATTAGTATTGCTGATAGGCTCCATGTCTTAAAGGCCTGGTCCCCAGAGGTGTGCCACTGGGAGGTCCTGGAACTTTGGGAGGTGGGGCCTAGGGGAGGGCCTTGGCTCTCTGGGTGGGGACCACCCTCCGAAGGCAATTATAAGAGGTAACTATGATAGAAGCCTGGATCTGGCCCCACCCAATCCTCTCTGTTCCTGGGTTGACATGTAATCACTTGCCTGCTCTCACTGTCTCTGGCCATCAACCATAAAGTAATGCAGTCATGGTGTGGCCCTCTCTGAGCCTGTGCTACACTACACTCTTTGGACTTTGAGCCTCTAAGATAGTGAGCTAAATAAACCTTTTCTCTTTGTATAAAGAGAAAGTTGCCACAGGAATTTGTTGTAGTAACATAAAGCTGACTAATACAGGCATACTTTAAAGGTGAGATCTGAAGAACATTTCTACCCTGTTTTTAATCCTATCAAGTATCTTTACTCACCTGCACTACAGGTACATCATCAAATGCTTTAATAAAATCCTCTTCATCAACAGCACCGGCACCTTCCTTTGCAGCTGTAAAAAAAAAAAAAAAGTAATTTTAAAAACAGAAATAATGTACAACAAACAATGTGTAAAATATACACTGGAGGAAGACTGAAAAATAAACAACTAAAATTACATTTTTGAAGACAGAATGATGAGAGAATTTAGAAAAATATAGTAATTTTATAATACTATGTACATTCATTTAAGTGCACTTGAACTAAGCAGGGAAAGTTGCAGTTTAAAGTATTTAGATAATATATATTGCATTAATAAGGATTCCTTATAAACAGATATAATGGAAAATTCAAATTTTCAGGGAATAAATAATTATTATTAATCCAGCATGATAAATTTGTGGACTATTCAAACAACATCTAAAGAACTGCAGTTTCATTCCAACTTTATATTAATCTCAACATATTTCCATTCCCATAAACTTGTAATAATCATGCCAATTAATTTTAGCATATGTTATAAGTTTCCCCTTAGAAGCTGTTCTAAGATGCTTCGTGTACTTAAAAGTTAATTGTTACCGTCAGGAAAAAGTTTTCTCTCTCTGCTAATGTGAACTTCACACATGAAAATTAGGTTATACTTTTATCAGTCTGCTTTTTCATAATAATGGTTTTTAAACTGGTGTCTAGGTCTTTGAAACCCTTACTAATGATTTACACTGGAAAATCTGACTGCTTTTCTAAGAGCTTCTTATCAAATATGCATCTGGCGTTTGGGGTCCTGACACATTTCCTAGGCAGAAAAGGACTTTATAGATAATTCCAGGCAGTAAACTAGTATCCTCACTCTCAGTGAAGAGTACTCACACTGCCTTGACAAACTCACTAGAAACGGATAGCAGCCACACCTCATGATGTGGCGCTGTGTGTGCTCATTTCTGTTCTAACACAAGGATTAGGACCCCACTGAACAGACAGATCCTGAGCGCCTCGCCTGCATCAGGCACAGTGCAGTGTACCCAAGCCGGGAAGAAGACTCAAAGACCAGTGCTGATCTCTGAACCCAAAGAATCTGACAAGCCAGAGCTCAACAGGAAAGTCACAACTGTGGGATTAAACAAAATGAAGAAAGGGTGAGAGTGGGGCTGTGGGGAATGCAGTCCTGCTGTCTCTGCGTAATTTACCCAGAGAAACTTCTAGAAGTGGTATAGGTAAGGGAAGGGAAGGAAAACAGGATTCTGATCATGCAGAAGTTTTCTAAGCTTTCTTTATTTAACTGATATTACCCAAGAATAGACCAAGAAGAAAGATTAGAAAGATGGTTCAGCTATTAAAAGGAATAAAGTTCTAATACCTGCTGCAAGGTAGATGAAACATTAAAAATGTTACCTTTAAATTTTAATGGTAAGTGAATTTAATTTTATAGTAAGTGAATTTAAGCTCAATAACCAAAAATTAATTTTAAAAAATACACTTCCCAAATTAAAAGGAACTGGGAATAAAAACATAAGAAACAAAGCAATACTTCCTCTAGTCCCTGCTTTGAATTTCACTTTCTGCTGGCAGGACAGCTCTGGCAGGAGTGGGAGCAGGGTGGCGCCGAGCTAACCTAGTCAACACACCCACAGTCTGCAGCCAGTCCAGGAAAGGCCATCCAGAGGCAGCATCCTAAGACTAATGCTTCCTCCAGCTTTCACCTAGCCCAGTCAGCTTTGGCAGTTTGGGACTGGTGGGATGCCTCCCCTGTACCACCATGGCTAAAAAGTCTGATGCCAAGGTTGAGCATGGTGTGAGTGCTGTAACTCAAGGTAGGAGGTTCACAAGGGCCTGGCCGGCTTAGTAAGCTTAGCAAGATCCTGTCTCAAAATAAAATAAGAAGCTCTGGAATCTTGCTCAGTGGCAGAGGTCCATGGATTCAATTCCCAGACCACAATGAAAAAAAAAAAAAAATAGCAGAGTTCTAAAAGCAGTGGCTTTGCAATTTTTAGAGGTAAAAAGTAGGAAATATGGATATAAATCTAAAATGTGACAACAAAATGCCAGTTGAGAATAACAGATCATACAGTCTATAGGGCAGGAGAGAGAAGGGATTTATGGAAGAAGACAATGTAAATACACTTTTAGAGCTTTAAACACCTAATCTATCATTTATTTAATTCCATATCTATGCTGGTATTGCAAGCAATAATACTACTTATAGAGAACAAAGTATATTTTAAAGACAGAAGGTCCAATCTCACTTCTGGATATTCTCAGTCTTGATAAACAGAAATTGGCGAAAAAGTCCCATGTCAGTTTTAGGCAAGACTAGATCCAGATGATCTAATAATGCCTCAGGTATGCTCACCTCTACATTCACTTTGTCCTCCTATAGGCTTTGCCTCACCAGGTTGTGGCAAAGACCCACACAGCACATTAAACTTAGATCCTACCAGTTTATCAGCATCAATAGCACAGTGTTAATTCAATTGAAGACAGAAAGCCATAATGTGCTATTCTCAGAGTCTAGAGTTCACTTTTGAGGGACACTGCAGGCAAGTACCATGCACAGCTGGCCCCATAACACCACATGGGATTTGGTCTTACCTGAAGACTTGGATCCAAGAGTGGATGACCCAATCCGGCGGGTGGTTCCCATTCCAATGTTTCTCCGTGAGCTTGGAGGAGCTTTGGATGACGTAGAACTGGCAGAGGAAGGTCTATTACCATCCACGGAATCTTCATCATCAAAATTTTTATCTGAACAGTAAGCACAGAAGTCATTGTTTTAAAAAAGAGAGCACTTTCTTCACTTACACATAATATAACCACCAGCCTTGGAGATGAATGGGTTTGCCTGCTCCTTTGGAAACGGAGGTGTCTGCCAGGGTCTGGAAAGGCCTGGCAAGCCCAGAATGCAGCTGCAAATATCATGTCTGCCTTCCCATATCTAGAACGCCCTCCCACTCCCAGTTTGGAAAATATTTCAGACTGCTCTTTATGCATTTTTGTAAATAAATTGAATAGACTATGTATCATTTAGGAATACTGGTGACTTCAAACCTGTCAAGTTTTCCTTTGTGACAAAATACTTTTCATAGAACCATTTTAATGGTTGTAAGGTACTTTGTAAATAGAAAATGCCATACTGAAACACACAATCTTAGACATTTGGGGTGTTCCTAATATCTTACCATTAAAAATAATACCTTAATTATAAATACCTTTCTACATATATGTTTTGTTTTAATTTCAAACAATTCTAAGAGAAAGAAACCCTTAGAAGCAATACTGTAACAGTGGTCCACTTTACGCTTTGAATATAGCTTTTGCTGCTCAGTCACTGAGACTTATTTTTTAAATGGAGGTTTCTTTCTCTTCCTCTCTCCCTGCTCTTCCCTAATCTCTTCCCTTCCCTAATATCAGGGGAAACAGGATCACCTTTCTTCTCCCTCCTAGGCAGAGTTATCTGTCCTGAGTACACATCCACCAAAGAAATGAAGTAATTTATGAAGACTTTGGGGATGGCACCAGAAGATCTCAGAAATGACTATCTTCCAAATTAACCAAGTGAATCACAACTCCAACAGAGAACACATGGAATGTATAGCCTTTGAACCACCTCTTTAAAAAAGTACCTTGTTCCACTTGATGGACAGAATCACAGCCTCTGGGACAGGAGTCCCCTGGCTTCTCCTTTGCTAACAAAGCAATAAACCTTCTTTTTCCTTTTTCTGAGACCGTGTCCTCATTATTGGATTGGCATCAGGGACAAAAACCAAGCTTTTGGTCATAATACTACGGGGTCAAAAGTATAGAAGTATTTAATGTATATTGCCAAATTTGTCTTCAGATGGGTCGTATAAATGTGTACATTTTCCTGGAAGGTCAAGAAAATATCCATACAGCCATATCCTTGCCAACATTCAATGCTATCATTTTAAAACTTAAACCAACTGAACAGGCAAGGGAAAAAAAAGCCCCCTCTATATTCCATATATTACATTTCTCTTTCAGTAAAGTTTTGGCAGGATGGGGAGTACCAGGGATGGAACTCAGGAGCACTCAACCACTGAACCAAATCCACAAGCCTATTTTGTATTTTTTATTTAGGAATAGGGTCTCAATAAGTTGCTTAGCGCCTCATTTGCTGAGGCTGGCTTTGAACTTGTGATCCTCCTGCCTCAGCCATTAGCAGCCACTGGGATTACAGGCATGAGCCACCATGCCCGGCTTTAAATTACATTTTTTGATAAATACTTTAAAATTTTCTAAGCAGCAGTGAATCCAACCAATGCTCCTCAAGCTGTATTCAAAATTAAAAAGAAAAAGAGGAAAAACTGGAGGGTGGGATCCTTAAAAATCAACATGTGTACAAAGGACATTTTAATGATGGAGAATAAAAACTATCATGATGCTTATATACCAAGTCCCCATGAGCTTATGCAGCAATTGTGAGTCATTTAGGAGGCTAAGTGAAATTGGAATAATTAAAAACAGAAAAGAAAACTAAGAACATTACCAATAGATCCAAAGTAAATGACTGTTAACCAAACAACAAAAACAGATAAAAATGGCATCCTTTTCTCCTTGCTGCTTCTTAGGTAAACTATCAAAAGCCAAGACTGTGTTTACTCAAGAGCCCTGTGTGCCTTAAAACTCACCAACAATGAACTTCAAATTACTAGTTTATTCAACTTGAGGGGAGGGGAGACAGTCCTTACAAAGTCATGCTTATGTAAACCAGCTCCTTTCTCTGAGCTTCACATTGCCCAGATTGTCTCACCACGCTAAACTGTTTCAATAGGGTTCTTTCAATCCACACATCAATTTCTTACTGGTTCACGTGTACAGTTTCTACTAAACAGACTTCCATATGGAGTCAGAAACTGTAAAGCACATTCATAAATTCCTTCCCAAGAGGAAAATCTAGACCTAATATAAAGGATAAGTACAAGGCAGAGGAGAGATCAGCAGCTGAGCACTGCAAGCATTAGCAGTGACAAGGACTGATGGAAACCTATCTGTCCTCCCGGGAGCTCCGAGAGTGCCTGAGCCTCTGTCATTATGGGAACAGACTGAAGAACTGCTTTCTTTTTCTGCTTAGAACAGGAACAGATTCAGTCTGTGGGAAAGATTTAAAAATCAACGGGGGAGATGAAAACACTGTTATATTTCACTCTAAAATTTGTGTAAATTATGTTTGGTCTAGAATTGTAACACACATAGACATACTATTTAGAACTGTGTTTAATTACTAAAAATAATTTTCAATGAACCAATTTTAATGAAATCCCTGGGATTTCTGCATGCAACAAGCAAGGATTAGACTTAACCTTTTCTAAGAAACCAGTCAGAATATATAAAACAACAACTTTCAGATACCGGATAATAGGCAGTGCAGAACTATGATCCCCAGAACAGAAAGCAGCAAGGTGAGCTATACAATCAACTTATGACTGCACTTACAACGTGAAAAATAACCAGTAAAGTGTAAAGTGAACAATCGAGTATGAATATGTTCAAGCCCCAATTAGCCAGAATGGAACGTTTTCAGTGACTTATCCAAGGTATTTAATAGAGACCCCCAGAGAGTCGGATCTTATATTGGAGTTGAGCTATTATTTTTGCAGTGAAGGATACACTAAACCTGCCCCTATGAGAGCTTAAAAACAGGCCTCAAGGGGATTAGACAGGTCTGCAAGTAAATTTAACTGTTTTGCTAAAACAAAGCATCACATTCTTTAAAGGAATATAACAAAATTCCGAAATTCCAAAATGTAACATTCACAACATAAAACATCTAATCAAAAATTCCTAAACATGACAAGAGGCAGGAAAACATGGTCCATAATCTGAGTAGGGGGATCAGAAAATAGTAACTAAAAAATGACTCAGATAAAAACATACATATTGCTCATATAATTATGCTCAATATTAAAGGAACACTGACACAATAAGAGAAAAGGAAATTTCAAAAGGATGAAATGGAGCTTTAAACTTTTAAAAATATCTGAAATGAAAATTTAATTAAATGTGAAAAAAGTCAGAGAAGTTAAACTCAGAGAAACAGAATTTATCCAAAATTAAGCACAGAAACAAAGCAGATGTAAAAGAATGAAAGGAATAGTCTCACAAGCCAGAAGGATATCAAGCTGCCTAACACAGATGACACTGTATTCCCAGCAAGATGGGGGGATGGGTTGTTGGGTAGGGCAGGAAAAGATATTAAGCAATGATAGCCAGTCAGATGTGGTGGTGCACATCTGTAATCCCAGCCACTCAAGAGGCTGAGGCAAAAGGATCAAAAGTTCAAGCCCAGCCTGTGCAACTCAGTGAGACCCTGTCTCGAATTAAAAATAAGAAAACAGGACTGGGGATATAGCTCAGCAATGGAACACTCTAGGTTTAATCCCCAATATTGTGAAAGAGAGAGATGGAGAAGGAGAAGAAAATGGTGGCCAAAACTTTTCCAAATTTATTGTAAACTATGAACCTACATACCCAAATAAAAACACCAAACAAAACATATACAAAGAAAAGCACACAGAGGTACCTCATCATCGAATCGCTTAAAACAAGTGAAAAGCAATTAGTGCGGAAAAAAGACACATTACATTTAGAATAACAAACAAAATTACATCAGACTCCATCAGAAACCCTTTAAGCCAGAAAAGAATGGAATGACTTATGGAAAATAGTGAAAGAAAATTATTAGCTTAAAATTCTATAAACATTAAAATTATATTTTAAGAATAAAGGCACAACAAAACAAACAATTTGCCACCAGCAGACCCACACTCCAAGAAATGTTACAGGACTATCTTCAGCCAAAAAGAAATACATACCAGCTGGAAACTCGGATTTACATAAAGAAATGAAGAATAGTAGAGATGGTGAATGTGAATTTATGTGAATAAATATAAGACTTTATCCTAATACCTTAATTTTACTTTAATTGAAAGCTTCAAACAAAAATGAAACACCTGATGTTTATTTTTCATTCTTTTTTATAGCCTCCTGTTCTGGGCAAATAAAATAAGCTGGTGGCCAGTGAAATTACAATGATGATATATATTGCTATGTACATATGTTACACACAAAAAATAAAAAATTGACAGGGGAACTAAGGTGTGCAGAAATGAAAGCGATTTTAAGCTAATCATCCTTGACCAAGACTGAAGATGCCACACTTCACTGAGAAGACACAACACTCAGGGCAACTCATGGAAACGCCTTCAGGGTGTTGTTGGCAAGGTTTTTAAAACTGAGCTCTGACAGTCCTACTTGGTCTTTTTACTTACACTTTGGGAATGAATCTAACAAGCTCACTTTTCTGATTTCCTAAGCAGATTAGAAACAACTAATTATAGGGATAACAAAAAGGGGGTTGTAGGGGTTAAGCAAAGTGATGTTAGTAAGAAGTGACCGTTCGAAGTCTGGTAGTTAAACAGAAACTATGAAACACAAACACATATACAGAAAAACCTCTGAACCCAAACTATGTAAAATGCACAGACGTTACAGGGATCAAATGACATCTATGTAACTGAGCTGCTCAATAGCAGGTACTGGTAGTAACCACCCAGGACCAGCATCGAAAGATTCGATTCTTTTTCATGCAATGTGTGTACTAATGAAGAGAGTAGTTCCTATTTCCTGCCTGTATTAGAAATTCAGGGAAACTTTCCAAATTAATAACTGGGCACACTGTTTAAATTTAGAGGTACTTCACCTGGAAAATGTCTGGAGGATAAAAG